TTTGTGGCCTTTGTTTATTGAACATTTAAATTGAACAAGTTGCCAATCGATTGTCGATTGCTGTTCGGCAACGTGTCCGCTTTCTGTTGCTGCAGCATCACGTTGCACGTTGCTCGGGGCGTGTTAATAAATCGAGTGACTCTCATGTGTCGATAATTATGCCATTGATTGCTTAATTGCAATGCATATGCATATATACCCGCCATCCGCCTCGCCAACTTCAGTCTCTTCTCTCTTCTTGAATTCCCGGGCGACTCGTCCTGCAATTTAATTGCAAGCTTAAAGTACACACTGAGGACATACTTCCAAATACAGATAGAAAATAATAAACTTTTGTAATAAATTAAATTAAAATTACTTTATAAAAACTAACAAAGTTTAGTTAATTATTTAAATATTTTCAACGCATTACCTAAACTGTTTAAAACTGTAGACCCTTAAAACCTTTCAACTACCTCTTTCGACAGTGCATTTAAAAAAAGACTAGGAACGCAGGATGAAGGACGAGTTGGAAGATGAGGACTCGAGACCTGGGATGCTGTTCTGTAGCTGCTGTTATTTTTGTTGTCGCCGTGGCACTTTGCATGCATTTCATTTTAATTTAATTTCAGCCGCCTTTTGCTTTCATCTTGCGCCTGCCAAAGGACACTTAGCATCCTGGCAGCCCAGGACTCTCGGTCGGGACTCTCGAGTGTCTCGCATGTGTGGCATGTGCAACAACTTGAATTATGCACATGAGACTTGGCTGCCAGCCCTTAGGGCCTCTGACTGCCACGCCCCTTTGCGTTGAATGCACACTCACAACCGCACCACATGCCCCATCTGCGACCTTCAACAATTTACCCAAATACGCAATTCTCTCGCATACTCAAACATACAGGATTCACGCATCGGGAATCCGAAATCAGAAATCAGGAATCAAGATAATGAAGGAGCCCAATGCCGCCTCGAAATACGAGTGTAATGGAGATGCTCGCGGAGATTCAGATAATGGGATGCCAATCAGGGGTTGCATTTCCCGATCCGTATCCGTATGCCTTATCCGGTGAAAGGAGTACTGGAACTGCATTACCCAGCAGAGGGTTTAAGCTTTTACCTTGAGTGCCATGATATGCATATATTTGTTTTAATGAATCCTTAAAAAAAAGTATCAGCAAACTAAGACTCAGAAGCACTCCACTCTACTCATATTCTGTTATAAACTAAAATTAAATTTAAGAAAATTAAACTTAGAAATGCTATTTCCCTTTCCTGTCCCGAGAGACAGCTTCCAACTGCTGGGAACGAAACCGAGACCTGATTTCATTTTACGATAATTACATGTGAGGACGACAACTAATGCTGGCCAGGGCGAACAAGGTCCCTCTTGGCCTGCAAGGACCCTCATGCAAATGACAGCCATTTCCGGAGCTCTGTCCGACTGACTGGTCACATTTAGTCGCATACATAATATTATTATATTTGCGTTGCCACTTTGCCTTACATTCGATCCATTGAATAGCAGCACACTTATCAAAAGCCACACGTTGCCAAACACTCACGCAGAACACATACATTTGGTTTATTAAATAATTACGCTCTAATTGCAAAAGTGACTGCGGTTCGACGGGCCTTTGGCCCTCGAAAAATAATGCCAGAATCTTGTTGAGCCAAATGTGTGAATAATATGGCACTGGGAATTCCCCAATTCAGGCAAGGGCTGTTCGGTGTTTGTGATTTCAGATTTGCCGCAGTTCGTGCCTCATTTAGTTGCAACAGAAGCGGCGTGCAATCAACTTGATTGAGTGCTGAAAATGGGAAATTACCGACTCTAACCCACTCTAGTGGTTTGAAAATTGCTCAGAACTCAATCCTTGGCTAAATACAGGTTTATTTTCCATCGTGAATTTCAAAGCCCCGCAACTTTGTTGACCAGAAAAACAATGGCAGAGTTCAGACTGCGCAAAAAAGTATTATAAAGATACTGAGTTCCAGCAGCTTCGTCGAAATATACTCGATCTAAACTCGCTTGTGTCAATATTCAGAGCAAGCAGAGCGTACATGTATATATATTTTCGCACAACTGCTCTTCATTTTACGTATTTTGTTTCCATATTTTTACCAGAATGTGCGCTATATGTATGCACCGTAAAAGCAAATTCCAGAAAAAGCGAAACATTGTTAATTGAATATAGAAAACTGAAATTGATTCAACCATGAAGGTGGAGAAAATTCCAATAGAGATTGATTGCATAGCATGTGAAAATATTGTAAATGAAATTTACTTAAAGGCAAAGAGCAAATAGAATTTTAAAGATTGAAATAAATGGCTTTCGGATGTTAACTTGAAGCTAAACTTGCTAAATCCTAACAAACACATATTGAAATTTGAAAAATAATAAAAATCTCTTTTGAAAGGAGAATTAAATTTACAGACCCTATATTATTTCACACTATTTTGCAGTTTCTAGCCCAACTAATTCCCACTGTACCATGTACTTGCCACAAGCCCTTCGCCAATGAGTCTGTGTGTGCCCTTGCCCTGGTTGTGGTGGCTTTAAATATACGTACATATGTGTGCAACATTTGCAACACTCCGCGGACAGTACGTGGCCATAATTAAATGTCGACATGCAACGCAGCGCCAGAAAGTATGCTATATAGCTACAAAGCAGAGATTTCCTTTTGGCTTTGGTGCTGGGGCTGGTGTTGGTAACCCTGATGGTGCGAGGGTTAGTTTGGCTGAAATGCTAAGAGAAAAAACGAACTAGGACAGCGCTGAAGGGGTTCCCGAACACCACTGAGCCTCTCCCTGCACGTAATGATGTAATAAAATCATTTCACACCTCATGAAATGTCGGCAATTTCCGTTGAAATTCGATTGAACTTCCTGCTTTCAATCGGGCCGAAAAAAAAATGTGAAAAAGAGGCGGCTGAACATGGCTGGGCAATAGTGGACTAGGCACGACCCTGGCTTGCATACGTGGCATGTATATCATTATACTCCCACACCCACACAGTCACCCTCGGACACACACACTTCTAGGCACAGACATGGGAAAAATATTCCGTATCTGGAACGCCGCTGACGTTTTAATTTTATTCGATTCCCAAAACTGATTCCGAAAGAGAGAACTGCGGAAAAGAAATTCTTGACTCAAAATTGATTGAAATGATATTGCAAAGGCGTGATATAACGAACGCATTGCCTTCTAGAATCCAGATACACTGAAAATAATTCTTTTAGGGTTATTAGTACATTGAGCTTCGCAATCAAAAATATTTTAGTAAATACCAAAACTTTTCTTGCATTATCCTTTTGCCTTTTCTCATTTAGAAAATCTATTAAAAAATAAAATTCCTTTCAAGTTTGGGATCTATCTCTCTCTCTCTTAGCTTGAATCGTAAAAAACACAGGAAATCATTCCGTCATTCCATAAATTGTTATGTCGTAAATCTCGGCAATCAAATGGCCTGCACACGTACGCACACACACGCATCTGCTTTCTTTTCATCAATGTGTGTGTGTATGTCCTTGAGGCTGTCTCGTGTTTCATGCTTCTTTTCCGCTGTCTGTGGCCAAAATTGTTGCCCAAGTCTAAGGTTCATTGTGTGATTTTCAAGGCAGCAGTGATTTTTGCCCAACTAACCAAAAAACAAAAAGCTTAGGGCTAGGAAATGTTTGTGCTAACCCTTTGTTTTAAATCTTTTTATATTCTAGAATCTAGATACATTTATAAAAATAAGACATTTGTATTTAAATATCTTATATTTTAAAAATATAGTTTCTATTCATTATATATATTGTTTTCTATTAACAACACTTAAGTAGTGGCTCAATAAAAAAAATAATTCTGAAGCATCTACCTATATTCTGTGTTATAATGCCTCAACTTAGCCCACACAATCTCCATTCATATATTCATTTCCAAGAATAAAACACCGACTGCGAAAAATAATAGCCAACACCATATCGATGCTGAAGTTGGGGCCAAAACGGATGTTGCAACAGAGAAGCAAAACGGATGTGTAGTTCATAAATTTCGTCAACTGCCATAATAACAAACTGGGGAGTCAACAGAAATTGACTTGTCGCCTGCTCGTAGATTACACAACACCCAGTACACCCAAAAACAGTTTCCCTGGGTGGCACGGGATGACAAAAAGAAAAAGAGAATTTTCCGTTGGCTGACCAAAAAAAATCAATGATTCCCAAGAAGTAGAATCATCTTGTGGCCAAAATCATAAATATCGGGTGAATGGGGACGGATTGGCAGGTGAATTTGTCAGGTTTGGCTGCCACAAGCACAAACTTATATACGATACATGTACATTAGCAATATACACAGACTGGGCCATTAGTCAAAAGTATGACGAACGAGACTGCATTAACAAATTACTTTTTAAGAACACTCTAAGAGAAAAAAGTTACCTCGTTATATGCAACTCTTAATGCATTAAATTATTAATTTGTGACACTATTATGCAACAAAATCCTATATTATAAAAAGATGAGAAGAAAAATTAATTATAATTTACCTGTGATCTGAAGCCATGAATATACCTTGGATGTATGCAAGTAAGATTTTGAAAACTTGTAGTTTAAATATTTGAACAGAAGTAAATAATATATTTTTTTAGCTATTTTCGGAGTTTTAATCCCATGGCTTGGACCTCCACGTGGTTGGACGTGGCCGGGAAAATAATATATGTATAATTTATACACTTATAATTCACTTATATGAAAAAAGATTGGAAACAAGATTTCAAGGTACACCTGCATTGATTTATAAAATAATTCATCAGCTAAATAGTTCTACAATAAATTGATTGAGAAAAAAATATATAAATTTATATTTTTTTAAATTTACATTTGCAAATACGCATTTCTTTTTAATACATACAACTATACGCTTTTAATGCGAGAAATTTTAACTGGGGTTATTGTAGTATAACTAATTGGTTTTATATCTTTCTGATTTTATATATACGTGACAAAAGTAAAAATAGTTATTGACATGATCTGAGACAATGAATACAGTTTGGTTATCTACAGGTAAATTTTGATATTTTTTAATTTGAAGAAAAATTTATAAATAATCTTCTTTTATAGCTATTTTCTGTGTTATAATATTTGGAAAGTGGTGGACACTGCCACCAGGCAACAAATGGGGTGGGTGAAAATGGATTTACATACATCCTTATTAACAATTTACTTTTAATGGCAAGAAAATAAATTATAAGTGTATTAACACATTGCATAATCATTAACTTGTTTATGCTTTAAATACATTGATTTATAAAATTATTCATAAGCTAGTACAATACTAAATCGATTGACAAAAAATATATATACTTATTTAAATTTACATTTGCAAATACACATTTCTTTTTAATACTATACGCCTTTAATGCGAGAAATTTGAAACTGGCGTTATTGTGGTATAACTAATTGGCCTTATATATATCTTTTTGCTTTTATATATAGGTGACAAAAGTAAAAAAAGTCTTTTTTATTGACGTGATTTGAGACAATGAATACAGTTTGGTTATCTACTGGTATATTTTGGTATTTTTTTAATTTAAAGAAAAATTTGGAAATAATCTTCTTTTATAGCTATTTTCTATATTGTAATAATTGGAAAGTGGTGGACACTGCCACCAGGCAATAAATGGGGTGGGTGAAATTGGACTTACATCCTTATTCATCAAACGGAAAATAAATAAAACTACTCATTAAAAAGATTGTTGTTCATTTCAAAATAAAATATAATTGTTTATGCTTTGAATGCATTGATTTATAAAATTATCCACAAGCTAGTACAATACTAAATTGATTGACAAAAAATATATATATTAACATTATTAACATTTTATTAAATAAACATTTGCAAATCCTCATTTCTTTTTAATACTTTACGCCTTAATGCGTGAAATTTTAAAGTGGCGTTGTTGTGGTATAGCTAATTGGCCTTATATCTTTTTGATTTTATATATACATAGGTGTCAAAAGTAGAAATATTTTTTTTTTATTCACGTGATCTGAGACAATGAATTCAGCTTGGTTATCTACAGGTAAATATTGCAATTTTTTTTAATTTGAAAGAAAAATTATTAAATAATCTTCTTTTTTAGCTATTTCTCTTACTATATTTTTTGGAAAGTGGTGGACACTGCCACCAGACAACAAATGGGGCGGGTGAAAACGGATTTACGTAAAATAATAATATAATTTACTACAAAGATTTTTGTTTATTCATACAATTTACTGTTAGTAGCAAGAAAATAGGGATAACTTCGGGCGAAGCCGATTAATAAGGACCGCCGAAGAATGAATAAGTTGCTTTACAACTGAAATATAAAAATGACTCCACTTTCGTGTTATTGAAGATAGAAGTTTTGTACATTCTACAGATTATATTTTTTTTTTCGGCCGTATGATCCGACCTACCAAATTTTGTGAGGATCGGTCGACTATACCCTACAGTGTTTTTGAATATAGAAACTTGGGATTTTTTTTAAGGATTTGTAGTCTAATAAATAAGTTTTTTTATTAAATTTTAATATGTACATAAGTACAGCCTAATATATGCGATATTTGCGATATATATCCGATCTTAACCGCAAGGGTGTGTCAACTTTGACTCTGCCCGAAGTTAGCTTTTCTTTCTTGATGTTTATTCAACTTCCAGGAAACAATAAAGGTTATTTTAAAGACTTTTGACATTTTACCATTTTAATGCGATAAATTATAATTTTGTTCTACTTTTGAATGTGTATTTAACTAATAGCTGATTTCCAATATAAATAGGTGTCTAAAAATGATATTTCTTATTACTTTCAAGTTCTAAAAGAATGAAAATTCTTGGGTTTATTATAGGTAAGCCTGTGGCTTATATTGGTTTTTAAATTGATACAATTTTTTTTTTGTAGCTCTTCTATTCGTAGCAGATAAGACCCGACCACCCGGATCATGAAATGGAAAACGATCCAAGCTATATGGCTAAACTACTCCAAGTAGTTTTGTACCCAAAACTAATAAAGGAATTATAAAAAATTTTAATATATGTTTATTATTACTATTGAGATACGCCCAAAACGATCCAGAAATCGTAACGGTACTCCGCTTGAGAATCGGATGGGAATTGGGGAAGATATAGCCATCGCTGTGCGCCATATAGGCAAAAACCCCATTTTCAAGGGATCCCATCACGAAAAAATGGACAAAAAATCTAAAAAATATTTTGTCTCGGGATTTTGAAGCAGAATGGTAGCAAATCGATCCAGAAATCGATTAAGGTACTCCGCTTGAGAATCGGATGGGAATTGGGGAAGATATAGCCATCACTGTGGCCCATATAGGGGAAATCCCCATTTTCAAGGGATCCCATCACGAAAAATGGACAAAAAATCTAAAAAATATTTTGTCTCGGGATTTTGATGCAGAATGGTGGCAAATCGATCCAGAAATCGATTAAGGTACTCCGCTTGAGAATCAGATGGGAATTGGGGAAGATATAGCCATCACTGTGCGCCATATAGGCAAAAACCCCATTTTCAAGGGATCCCATCACGAAAAATGGACAAAAAATCTAAAAAATATTTTGTCTCGGGATTTTGAAGCAGAATGGTAGCAAATCGGTCCAGAAATCGATTAAGATACTCCGCTTGAGAATCGGATGCGAATTGGGGAAGATATAGCCATCGCTGTGCGCCATATAGGCAAAAACCCCATTTTCAAGGGATCCCATCACGAAAAATGGACAAAAAATCTAAAAAATATTTTGTCTCGGGATTTTGATGCAGAATGGTGGCAAATCGATCCAGAAATCGATTGAGGTACTCCGCTTGATAATAGGATGGGAATTGGGGAAGATATAGCCATCACTGTGCGCCATATAGGCAAAAACCCCATTTTCAAGGGATCCCATCACGAAAAATGGACAAAAAATCTAAAAAATATTTTGTCTCGGGATTTTGAAGCAGAATGGTAGCAAATCGATCCAGAAATCTATTAAGGTACTCCGCTTGAGAATCGGATGGGAATTGGGGAAGATATAGCCATCACTGTGGCGCAGATAGGGGAAATCCCCATTTTCAAGGGATCCCATCACGAAAAATGGACAAAAAATCTAAAAAATATTTTGTCTCGGGATTTTGATGCAGAATGGTAGCAAATCGATCCAGAAATCGATTGAGGTACTCCGCTTGAGAATCGGATGGGAATTGGGGAAGATATAGCCATCACTGTGCGCCATATAGGCAAAAACCCCATTTTTAAGGGATCCCATCACGAAAAATGGACAAAAAATCTAAAAAATATTTTGTCTCGGGATTTTGAAGCAGAATGGTAGCAAATCGATCCAGAAATCGATTAAGGTACTCCGCTTGAGAATCGGATGGGAATTGGGGAAGATATAGCCATCACTGTGCGCCATATAGGCAAAAACCCCATTTTCAAGGGATCCCATCACGAAAAATGGACAAAAAATCTAAAAAATATTTTGTCTCGGGATTTTGTAGCAGAATGGTAGCAAATCGATCCAGAAATCTATTAAGGTACTCCGCTTGAGAATCGGATAGGAATTGGGGAAGATATAGCCATCACTGTGGCCCATATAGGGGAAATCCCCATTTTCAAGGGATCCCATCACGAAAAATGGACAAAAAATCTAAAAAATATTTTGTCTCGGGATTTTGATGCAGAATGGTGGCAAATCGATCCAGAAATCGATTGAGGTACTCCGCTTGAGAATAGGATGAGAATTGGGAAAGATATAGCCATCGCTGTGCGCCATATAGGGAAAAACCCCGTATTTCAAGGGATCCCATCACGAAAAATGGATAAAAAATCTAAAAAATATTTTGTCTCGGGATTTTGATGCAGAATGGTAGCAAATCGATCCAGAAATCCTTTAAGGTACTCCGCTTGAGAATCGGATGAGAATTGGGGAAGATATAGCCATCAATGTGGGCCATATAGGGAAAAACGCCATTCATGAAAGGGATCCCATAATGAAAAATGGAAAATAATACATTTTTTTGAATAAAATTCTAATAAGGATTTGCGATAAATATCCGGTCTTAACCGCAAGGGTATATCAACTTCGGCTTTGCACGAAGTTATCGTTTCTTTCTTGTTTTTATTCAACTTCCAGGTAACAATAAAGGTTACTTTAAAAACTTTTGACATTTAACCTTTTTAAAGCGGTTAATTATAATTTTGTTATAATGTTGTATGTGTATTTTACTAAAAGCTGATTTCCAATATAAATAGGTGTCTAAAAAATATATTTTTTATTACTTTCGAGATCTAAAACAATGAAGATTCTTGGACTTCTTATAAGTGAGCTTGTGGCTTATATAAATTTAAAAAGTTTTTTAATTTTGCATATTTTTTATAGCTCTTTTATTCGTAGCAGCAAGAAATAGAACTCGGCGACCCGGATCATGAAATGGAAAATGAACCAAGCTAAACTACTCCAAGTAGTTCTGTAGCCAAAATTAATAAAGAAATTATAAAAAAATAAAATATTTTTACCAGTATTGAGATACCCAAGACGATTCCCTTTCTTCAAACAATCAATTCAACTGTCTGGCTCTTAGTTGGTGCGCAATTTATAGTCCCATCAACCCCCAGGACCCCATTTCATCATGTCTGTCGTGGACAATTTTCAATATAGCGGAACTATTAAGGCAGTTAAATGATAAATTATGCGCCACAATAAGCAGTTGGCGCAAGTCAGGAGCCGTGAAAGCTTTTTATGATGACGCACTTCCGTCCGGTCCTCTTCCGATTGAGTTTCCCAAGCCCCAATCCGGCGGCTCATCTGTTTGTCTGTCTGGTGGAGCGGTCAGGTCCGCCGTTTTCCGAGGGCTTTCCCAGCTCTTAAACCCACTTACCCCCCTCTCACACACACACACACACTCACACTTTTCCAGATGGTCAACCGAAGCCGTTCACTGCGGGCGTGCGCTTCAATTGCGACTTTTATGGCACATCAATCGTTGGCATCGTCCTCCGACGTCCGCCGTTCGCCGTCCGCTGTCCGAAGCCGTTAAGTTTTATTGATTCCAATGGCTCAGGGATTTGCTCAGTGATTGTCCGCAGTCCACAGAAACTGACCAGAGTCCTGAATCAGGATTCAGGATATGGGAAATTCCATATCCCCCTCACTTCCTTCACCAGATTTCTCGCTGGCTCATAAAGTGCCTTCAACGCCTTTTGACTTAACCGCTCGCTTTGTCTTCCCTTTTTTCTGGCTCTCTACCATTTCTCGGCTGCACTATCAACCGAACCCACTTCGACCCCCTGAAGGTCATTAAGTCAAGCTGTGGACATAAATAACCCGCAGGACATTGCAAAAGTTCCCGGGCGCTTTAAGGATTTTCAGCTAAAGACTGCGGCAGGTGTTGAGCCTTTAGCCTTCGCAGTTCCACGCTGTTTGCTCTTCATGTTCATGTCCTTGTTCATGTCTAGGGCTTTGGTCCTGGTCCTGTGCTTGGTCTATCAAAAGGTGGTTAAAAGCCATTTAAACAAGCGAGGAATTCTGACAATCAAAGCAGGGATTACAAATTACAAGGGCATCAATGGAATCAGGACTAAACACATATATTCAAGAAAAACAGTCTGAGAAGGATAATAAATAGTTCCAATAAGCAGTTCTTATAGACGGAATTTAATTAAAACCAAACTCAGAATCATTACAAAGATTCTACTGAATTTCAACTAAATAAAAGGGAATTTAGTAAGCAAGCCAGAGAAATTTTAGTAAATAAACACTGTGGGTCTTGCCTTGAAAAGCAATTGAAACCCATGTTGTTGGAAGTGTTTTGGGAAGCCCGAAACATTATTCCTGGTGTTGAGTGCTTGGTTCAGGGCTCTGGGTACTCAATCCTCTCGGTTCCTGGTTCCAGGATGTGCGGAGGTTGCGGCTGAGTGTTGTCTGTGGGTAAGAGACCGAGTGCATTGTATTTCCACTTACTAATCGGCTAATGCTGGGGCACAGTGCTCAACTGGTAATGCACCTTGAAAAATATTTCTTAAATAAAAGTAATATCCTTGATTAATAGAGCCTATAAAATTTTGAAAATATGTACGTACTATAAACTCAAAACGAAAATTGTTCCTTAATTTCCTTAACTTAATTCAATTAATTTCCTTAATAGTTTATTCCAGTACCTTAAAAAGCTTTTGCCTTAGTTCTGTTGCCTAGTTTTGTAATTAACATGGCATTCAAGCCAAATCTGTGCTGCAACCAATCACCATCATGGCCTTGCCTCCAACTCCTAGTGCGGTTGCCATAGAGAGAGAGTTGAAATTGAAATGCTAAGAAATGTTTAAATACAGACAATTGGAATCGGAGTCAACACCTTTTCACTTCGCTTAGAGCTGCAACATGCAACATGTCAATTAGTCAGAGTTTGTACCACGAAAAATGGCAGCAGCTGCCAAATTTAATTTCCCCATTCTCGATCCCCCTGACTTCTTTTCCCTTTTAACTGTCTACTGAATGGATTCAAAGCATTTTCATGTCGCACACAAAATCCAAAAAAAAGCAAAAAAAATAAAATGGAAAAACGAAGCGAAAACTTTTCAACATGTGTTGGCAGCTTTTTGGTCGAAAGGCAAGGGAAAAATGTCGAAGAAAACTCCTTCAAAGTTGTTGGAGAGAGTGAGCAAAAAAAAAAATATAAAAAAGGTGCCAAGTGGCAAGTGGCAGGTAATAATCTATGCATGTGTGGGTGGACCAAAGCCAGGCAAGGGGCAAGATTGGGGGAGGCCACGGACTCAGCCGACACTTGGCAGCACTTTACATTTATTGTGGCAGCCGAGGATGCGAGATCTGAGGCAGAGGCATGCATTCGAAAGTGCCTGTCATGGGCACAAGCCAAAGCAAAAGTGTTGCTGAAGGCTAAAATATAGCAGTGGTCAGAAAAATATACATTTTTATTATACTTTGTATTTAAATAATTAAACTGTATGATTTCAAACAAATATTTAATAAATAAATAATAGAGACCCTAAACACTCTTACATTATTTACAAAATAGCTACCG